GCCGTACCTACCGTAACGGTGGTTGGCAAGAAGCCTACGAGAAACTCGTCCGAAATGCTTTTTGCGTTATCAGAAATGAAGGCTTTTCTTCGCAGGTTTTTGACCGTTTCACTTCGTTTTTTCGCCATTTTCCCCACTATCCAGCACCCTGCTGGCATTTTAGACCGAGTACCAAATTATCGGCCATGAAATGTGGATTTAATAGAATTGCGGAATCGACGTTTCAATAGAATGCGCACTAAAGGAGTAGGTATATATCGATCGACTTCTGTAGGTCGATTTCCTTGTCCTTCGATTCTTTCATTTCCTCAGAACATCGGAATGATATGTACACATTCCTTGCCTGGCGCTCTTATGATCTCCGGTTCCCCGATTTCCTTCACCACGACCCGACTTGCGATAATTTCACTGAACAGATACAACGAGAAATATTTGTTGGGTTGACAACAACTAAAGGTACACGCAAAAATCGGAACACATCAGATATGCGAAAAATTCTATAATAAACACGCATACAGAACAAACAAAAGCCTGATGAGGGCCCAGCCACAAACCATTAAACAGTCGTGGATTTTGTTAGTTACGTACAGAAAGAGCAGGGTTCAGAAAAAGGAACCACGAGTTTTGTCGCAAGATTGTGGAGAGGCGGTGAAACCTTGATAAAACAAAGACAAGTGTTTTGAAAAGAAATGCACAACACAGAACAAACTCCGACTCAGCGCTGAATCCTGCGTGGTTACTGTAGAAAAACCTTATTCAGATCGATCACTGGATTGACTTAGCATCAGGAAAGCATGCAATCCGTTGCCAGCTGTGATGGTATTAAAAATAGGCGTAATGTTTCCACGGAAGAGCTGTATCGTTCGCAATTGCACGCTCTACGCCAAGGTCGCGGCTTTTAAAACGCGCAGACGCGGGAAAACGACGCGCTTTCGACATTTGGTTGAGGACGCGACGCTACTGCCTCGACGAGCGTCGCTGTCTCATCGCTTGTTTGTTAACTAGGGTTTTCAGTTTTATCATCTTTCTTATCCTGCTCTTTCAGAAGAAAAAATGTCAGCAGAAGACGGAGTAAATGGAGAAGAGCAGATGGAAGTGAATGAGGTCCGTTCAGTTTGGTTACGCTTTGGAGCATTTGTTAGTGCTCTTACTTAGGTCGCGTTCATGCACAAAGCTTCCGCGAAATCCGCAGATTGCGCGGAATCTGCTTGAAATGACCGCGTACTGATCGATTCGAAGAATCCCCAGATTCCGCAGAATCTGAAGAAATGCACAGATGTCTTGGTAAAGAATCATTCCCATCATGTCTCTTCGACTAATTTAGCGTTCTTCCAGTTTCGCACATTCTGCGGGTCTGCGGAATTCTGGAATCGATGTGTGTGGATTCTTTTTCCGCAAATTCTATGTGATGAACGCGACCTTAGGATGTTATGCAGGCGTGGGTATGTCGAAACACTATGGCTGTCTAGTCACTTTTGTTATGTGAAATGTCCTGAAAATTTACTAAAAACAGCTTCCTCCGCTCTAAGCGAGCGACCTGTTCAAATACCGACTCGTGTTTGATCTTTTTGGGCCCAGTTGAGACTATTGAACTACTACATGCCTACTACTACACCACCATAGTATCGGTCGAAAAGTTTTTCTACGCATTAAACACACTCCGCACCGCGGTTTGTGCCGACATCCCTCTGCACTACTTACGTTACTTATTTCAAACGCGAATAATCAGCCAATTTTCTATACTAGTGTCACTTTCCGAGATGTATTTGTATTACTGATGACCTAAAAAGTGTTCTGATAACTTCGAAGCATCAATAAGATGTTAAATAGACCGTATGAAGCGGCGCAGTGAGAAAAAAGTATGACACACCATGTGTGTCACGTGGTCCGGAACGTGTTAAACTTAGCTTGTAGGGGCAGTTAGTGGCTGTTCTCTGCTCTTATCACGAATATCACATTCGTCTTCAACGCCAGCGCCAATCCGGTGCACATCTTTCTCACCAAAATCGTTGAAAGCTACGGGGGTTGCTTGAAATCCTGGTCACAGATGTGACAATTCGGCACTATTCAACTATTACTACCCCAGTTTTCCGAAAACGGGCTGGATCTTGATCGACTTTTTTCTGCGGGGGCAGATTTGGCTGAAAGTTGGGTTCTAGGGGTAATCCGACCTGCTGAACACGAATATCACATCCGTTCCTCCCGAAAATGCCTGGCGCCCGCGCCAAGTACCCTGGATCACCAAATCCGCTGAAAACTTGTACCCAGGGGTAGTTCGACCTCCTGAACACGAATATCACATCCGCTCGGCCTGAAACTGCTCGAAGATCGCGCCACGGGCGCCGGCGCCAAAATGCCCCAATACGCTGGCGCCTGTGGCGCGGGCGCCATGCACTTTCAGGCCAGATGGATGTTATATTCGTGTTCAGGAGGTCGAATTACCCCTATAACCCGAATTTCAGCCAAATCCGCTTTCGTAGAAAAAAGTCGATCAAGATCCGCCCTGTTTTGGCAAAACTGGGGTAGTAATAGTTGAATAGTGCCGACAATTCTTGGTGCCGTCGCTTATGTAAGGTGCTCTGTTTATCTATGTTCTACAAAGGCTGACTCTAGCAGGGAGGGAATAACTTCTTCTCCTTGGTTCAGCCATAGCGGAGCGCTAAATGGTGTTTGGGATGAAAAGTGAGCCACATTTGTGAAGAGCACAAAAGCATTAAACAAACCTGTTATGCAATTTTTTTATCGATTTGTTGGAGAAGGTGGTGTCAACAGCGCCAAAAACGAATGCTGTATGCGTGATCAGAGCACATTACCTCTATGAGCAAAAAAAAACTGTTTTCGGTCAGTAATAGTTCGCGAAGATTCTACCAGTTTCGCGAATCTCCAACTCGGCGCTAATTCCCCGTAGATCACTAGGAATTTGCCTGTAGATGTAGGCAATGAGGAAGTATACTTCCGCTAGGAGTGTTACAAAATGGAGGTACCTTTTCAATTCAGATGAAGCCAGAAGCCAGAACATGAAACTACTGAAGAGGTAAAAATGGGACAAGAAGAAAATGAAGAAGATGAAATGGAGGCCGAAGAGGGAGGTAGTCCTACTTCCAGTTTCTGAGCTGCTACTGTCATCTCTCTGATGTTGAATAATTGCTTCAGAAGATAGCTTGGAATCAAAATTCGAGGCAGACTCATTCAAGAGGTTTGAGTTGTTGCTGAAGAAAACCGAGAACTTTTCCCATTGTCTCAGCGCAGGTGATGTTGCTGCGTACAAAGGTAAGTCTTAGCTAAGCTTCTGCTGTCTGCTTTGCATCGTGCCTCAAATGCATTTGGCTCGTGCCTCATCCGGTTATTGCAGGGTCACCTGTGAAGAAAAAGCGAGGCAGAACCGCCAAAACAGGCGTAGACGGTGATCACAGGCACAGAAAGACTGAGCAGGTTTGTGAAGACAATCAATTCCCTTAAATGTTGGACTGTTCGCTGAGAATCGCTAGAAGATTTTTTTACCTAGAACGTCTTCTAGAAATCTAAGGGAGGTAGATGGTAGTTGGAATTGCAGGAAGAAGATGAGGAGATGGCTGAGGATGCTGTCAGGGAGGAACTAATAATGGTTTTCGACAAAAGCCCATTTTATATTCAGAATGGTGAATTAAGGTGAGATCTACAGCTACACATCGTATAATATGATCCACGAAGACCGTATTTGTTCTTTGCAGAGATTACCAAGTACGTGGCTTAAACTGGTTGATATCCCTACAGCACAACGGCATTAATGGTATTCTTGCTGACGAAATGGTAGTTTCTTTTAACCTTTTTTCCTTCTCTAAATTGTAGAATTCGGAAAGAATTATCATATTATGTCCGAATTTGAAGGGTTTGGGGAAGACGCTCCAGACGATCGCCCTACTTGGGTACATGAAACACTACAAGAACCTGGCTAGTCCTCATCTGGTAATCGTGCCGAAATCAACGTTAAAAAATTGGATGAACGAATTTGCAAAATGGTGTCCGTCTATGGTAACTTGCTGCATAATAGGAGATGAGAAGGAGCGAGTGAGTCAGCCATTGATTGGTTAACAGAACATTTACAACTAGACTCATCTTTGTAGAACGATGTGATACACAATGTAATTCTACCTCAAAAATTTGACGTCTGCTGTACTACTTACGAAATGGTGCTGAAAGTAAAGACTCAACTTAAAAAGTTGGTGTGGAAGTACATCATCATCGATGAAGCTCACAGAATTAAGAATGAAAAGTCGAAGGTTCTTTTTTCCTTTGGTTCTTAAATAAAGACGTCGTAGATTACGTCTCCGTTTCAGCTTTCCGAAGTCGTGAGAGAAATCAAATCGAAAAATCGCCTGCTCATCACCGGAACTCCGCTGCAAAATAATCTTCATGAGCTATGGTCCCTGCTAAACTTTTTACTTCCTGACATGTTTTCTTCATCGGAGGATTTCGACTCATGGTTTACTGATGGTAGTATGCAAGGCAATACAGACATCATATCTCGCCTTCATAAGGTAATCAAAAATTGTGATGAACAGCGTGACAGTTCTGGAATTCTCTGCTTTTCCAGGTACTTCAACCTTTCCTTCTGCGTCGAATCAAATCTGACGTAGAGAAGTCTCTGCTGCCGAAGAAGGAAGTAAAGGTGTGTTAGGTGTTACTAAGGTGTAACTTTTTGAAACTTCATTTTCTTGAACAGTCAGTGTTTCCATGCTGGCTGCCACATACATGTTATGAATTCCTTAACCTGGGCCGGTGAGAGGTGGGGTTCTAAGTGCAGAGCTCTGCTTTGAGCAGTGAGCGTTTTCGAGAGAGAGGAGGTGGAGGGAAGCGCTGAGTTGAAGAAGACTCGTACGTGTTAAAGGCGAGAAGATCGCATATTGGGACGAGTCCAGTCCGACGATTCCTTGTATTGAACCCTGGGACCACACGAGAGACAGCAGTGCATCAATTTCCTCGACTTTGTGGTGTCTAATGGTGTTCGTCGTCTAATGCAAACAGGTGTTTTAGGTTTACCCCCCCCCCTTCCGCGCTGAAAAAAACTGAGCTATGCTGATTAAATGCTAATGAGAAGATGAATAAGGCGAAAGTCAAAAGAAATTAGCCACAAATGCCTCAAATAGAACCCCATGCCGAGCCGCGCTTGTGCGTATATAAGGCCAAGAAAGGACCGGGTCGGACGACGACTTGTAGGGATCAGCTCTTTTCCCTTGCCGATTCACTCTCACCTTTCGGAATGGAGAGTGTTTTGTCCCCACGGGAAGCCTTTGTACATGGTTGGGCGCGTTGTGACTAATATTTGGGGTAGTCTCGTCGCGAGCGGATTTAATTCACGTTCTCACCCCTTTTTCGAGCTGCGAAAGTAGTACATCCTCCATGCTCACAGGCAGCATCATCTTGCCTAAAGAAGGCAACGAACGTCAAATGAACGTAGAACATGCTTTCAACTTATTGGCGCCCAGTTAATAAGGATTGAATGTGCTAGATCTGGTTCCTTAATGAATAATTTTGCAGATTTATGTTGGTTTATCGAAAATGCAACGGGAATGGTATACAAAAGTTCTTATGAAAGATATCGATGTTATCAATGGAGCCGGAAAAGTTGAGAAAGCGAGGCGAGTTTTTAAATAGCCTCTCCGTTGCGGACCCATGCACTAGCCAATTGTTGCTTCAAGACGCTCAATTTAAATGAGAACCTGCAGTTTCTAATCGTTTCGTTTTAGATTGATGAATATTCTGATGCATTTGCGTAAAGCAGCCAATCATCCTTACCTTTTCGATGGAGCTGAACCCGGGCCACCATATACCACTGACCAACATCTTGTTGATAATAGCGGGAAAATGGTTGTGCTCGATAAACTGCTAGCAAAGCTCAAACAGCAAGGTAATTTCTGAGTCAGTCTATAGCTTTCGATTCGATAGTCAAGTTGGCGTAGTGCCAAGGGGCTATTTCTCATTGAGACGCATGATCAAATTCGCCTTTGTAAGGTGTGATTTCTGCGCTAAAGGTAGGTAAGGTTGAGGTTGGTATATTGAGACCGCGTTTTTATGCAGAAAATGAATAGACTGCGCATAGTTGGTCCTTACAGTATTTTGTTCGGGTTAAGACGCATTCGAACAGCTCTACTTTGTAATTCCAGTTAAATTGTTAAGGTGTCCAAACAGTGTCCATTATTTCACTACTACACCTTATATTTTGCTTCTCAGGTTCTCGCGTTCTGATATTTTCCCAATTCTCAAGAATTCTCGATCTACTGGAGGATTATTGTTGGTGGAGACAGTACCAGTACTGTCGACTTGATGGTAATACAGCTCATGTTGACAGACAGGAGTCTATAGATGCTTTCAATGCTCCTGATTCCGAGAAATTCATATTTATGCTTACAACAAGAGCTGGAGGTAATGCTTTATTAACATGATTTTTTATTTTGAGAGTCCTGCTTCTAAGTTTATTTGATTTCAAGGTCTTGGTATCAACTTGGCAACTGCCGATGTGGTTGTCATTTTTGACTCGGACTGGAATCCGCAAAGTGATTTGCAAGCTATGGATCGTGCACATCGAATCGGGCAGAAAAAACAGGTATTGAATTCAAACGCACAGGCTTCTAGAATATTCTGATGTGGCTATTCTATTGAAGGTTCGCGTGTTCCGTTTAATCACGGAGAATACCGTCGACGAAAGAATCATCGAAAGAGCTGAAGTAAAACTGAGATTAGACTCGATTGTTATCCAACAAGGAAGGATAGCTGAAGCACAAAAGACGCTTGGAAAAGATGACATGATTAATATGATTCGCCACGGTGCTGAATTGGTGAGCCATCAGGATCTTCTCATCTTTCGCAGTACTTTCTCGTGCTCATCTGATTCCCTTTCACGGAAATCTCGTGAATTTTGTCTCAATTTGTGATTTTTTAGGGAAAGAACTTTCATAAGTTTTCCATTGAATTTATTAGTGCTCTTTTCAGATTAGTTGTGTAGTGTTGTGACTTGTTTCAGGTGTTTGCCACAAAGGATTCAACCATCACGGATGAAGACATCGATGTGATCCTAGAGCGAGCTGAAGTGAAAACAGCGGAGTTGAATGCGAAAATGGAAGAATTAGGCGAAAGCAATCTGCGAAATCTCACTTTCGACAACAGCAAATCCGTCAGTTTCTTCAACAGTTTTCCTGTACTCGATCTCGAGAGTTGCTGTTTATACTGCCCATTACTGTGACTTGTTTTCAGGTTTACAATTTCGAAGGTGAGAATTGGAAAGGTAAACAAAACGAAGGGATGGGACACTTCTGGATCGAACCGCCAAAACGTGAACGAAAAGCCAACTATCAGGTAATCCAGGGTGACATTTCTTTGCTGCTTCATATTTTGGTTCAATTTTGAGGCCTGATACGCACGATTGTTACTCGAAGACGAGTGACCCGTTTTTTTTTGAGACGCAAATTCAGAAGTGTTTCATTATTCGGGCTCATTTTAGGTGGATGCATACTTCCGAGAAGCTATGCGTCAGGGTCAGCCAGCAGAAAAGCAGTCGCGAGCTCCTCGCCCGAAGCAGCCAGCCGTTTTCGATTTTCAGTTTTATCCACCTCGCCTTATGGAATTGCTGGATCGCGAAACGTATCACTACAGGAAAACCATAGGCTACAAGGTTAGTGAACAACCTTTCGGTTTTCAAAATCTTTATTGCGTGTGTTCATTAGCACATGTGCCTGACTAGGCTCGTAAAGGCTACAGATCACCGATGTATGGAGCTGGTGATCCTATCTGTGATTCCTCCTCGTCATCGTCTATCGAAATTCCGCCATTGATTTTCATAGCTACCTGAAATATTTACGAAAGTTCAGAGCCTTGAAAAGGTCTGTGTAACTGCTCAGAAAAGTACAGTGATTACTCTCAAAGCCTTTGAAATTACGAAAACCCTCAAAATAGGGTATTTCGTAAATGTGCAGGCCAAATGCAGTGCTCTGTTCCACTCGTAATTTCTGTACCACATTGTTCTACGATTTGCTGCCTTACCTCAGTATCGTTTTCCTCGAGGCTGGACTCTGAGCCCCAGACGCTATTGTTCTGGTCGGCACCCTCTTCCATCAAATCTTCTGGGAACTTTATAAGCTTAGGTTTATTGGTTGTGTTCCGAATAGGGAACACAAGATATTGTGTTTCTTGAAAGCTGTTGACATCATCAAGGCTTCCCATGCTGGAAAAAAGTCAGCATTAAATTGAATGGATTAGGCTGCGTTCATACTTTGCAGCAGCGTCCACTAGCGTTTCGGGCGTCCGGCAGCGTCAGTGACTGGGAAAGTACAGATATCGATGTAGCGTCCACCAGTGTTTCCCAGCGTCTACCAGCGTCTCCGTCTGTCAGCGTGCACCAGCGTCCGGGAGAGTATGGTGCGATAGGAGGGTAGCAAGCAGCTCGTACCCTCCTATCGCGCCATACTCTCCTCTCCCCGACGCTAGCGCTAGCCTTCGCTAGACGCTAGCGAAGTCTGGCAGATGCCGGTGCACGCTGGTAGACGCTAAATCGATACCTGTACTTCCCAGGCCCTCGAGAAGGTGGACGCTGGTAAATGCTGGCGAAGGCTGCGAGACGCTAATCGATATCTACGCTTTCCCAGTCGCTAACGCTGCCTGACGCTCGTAACGCTAGTGCCGCGAAGTGTGAACGCAGCCTTATTCACACCAACATAACCTTTTTCGAAGTCTGACCTCATTCTTCCATCCCGTGAGGAAGCTCTGCTCACAGTGGAGGGTGGATGATTCGCTGAGTTTGTCGCCGAATGTTGACCACTGGCAGGATTTTCGTCGTCGTCCTTGTTCACCTCGATGGGTGGGACCTACAGGGAAAAAGCTTAATAGCAGCACTTTCCTTACTTTGAATGTTTTTACCTTGAAGGATCTAGTAGAGAAGCTTCCATTCCTGTTTGGATGTGGTGTCCTTGGATAGTGAGACTCGACCTTGTTTTCTAAGTTACCCAAACTACGTGTTACGCGAAGTTGTCGGTCTGTTAACTCTGTGCAATATTTTTCAGCTGAAATATGTACAGATTCGAATATGGAGTTTTCTTCGAAGAATTCTCGAAAATCTTATCACTACTGGACCAGAAAGCCATTTTTGAGTTCTAGATAGGAGGCGCCAAAACGCGTTCTTCAATTAGCAGTGTCACGCAGCATGTATTATCGTCTTAGTGTTCGATAAGCTCTTATCTCGAAAGATTATGAAACAAAGCTAGTCAGTTTTGGCGAGAAAATTATACACCTAGCTGCAGTAGTAGATATAAAATACTGTACAATTATCTTAATAGAAATTTTTTTGCGAACCTCGTTCAGTTGTGATTTCTCCATCATAGAAGGCGCGTTCGATGAGTTCAGGACCGTTTGATGGAGACAAGTAAAATGCAGGAGTCTGCTGGGAACCACGACGAAGCGTGGGTCGCATTACTTGGCGCAGTCTCTCGATAATTTTCCTCATTGAACCTGGGTGGTCTTGGCGATCGTAGACAAGTGATAGTTTGTAACCCTTTAACGGTTTTTCTTCACAAGGCTCAAATTTGAACAAGATCTTGTAAACAGTACCTCATGGAGAACGTCCTGTAGTAGGTTATAATCAACAGTTTCCGCAAATGCATCGTCTGACAAAGACCATCGACTGCTTGGTCTTTTCACTATGGAACCATTTTCATCAACTCTGAAAAATCAGCTTTCTAAAAACGTTTCCAAATTTTGATATTTCTTCTACATCTTTTGGAAAGAGTTCCCTACTTCCATCTGGCATTGTGCCAGAGGAACTTTAGGGATCTTTGGAGTGATATGTTTTCTTAAATACATTCGAACTTATCGTAATTTATTCTTTTAAAGAGGAGCTGCGCTCTTACCGTTGAGGTTTATGTTGTCCATAAACGAGGTGGATAGGTCCGCTGTGGAAAGCTTGAGAGTACCCTTTTCCATCTACTGGAGCTCTGTGGCAGCGAGAGTGAGGGGTGTGAAAGGCTTATGCTCTTTTATAGCTCCCTCCTGCAAAACGTTTACGGTGGCAATGTTGGCTACCCGCGACATGCGGAAACGTCCTCTCGTTGGGGAAAATAAACGGAAGATGCGCCCCCTCCTAGTTCCCTCCTTTGACACGACCCCCTTCTCCATCCTACCTACCTCCTCCTTAGATTTCCCTAACTTCATATTTCTTGTTCCAGTTTTTCCGGAATTACCCGGAAATTCGCCTACTTTTCCCCAAAACTTCTTGTCGGGGAAAGGGGAGGAGCGGTAGGGTGTATAGCACAAGTAAAAAGGGGAAAACTGCTGAATAGTCATTTACAAACTGGAAAAAAATTTTTCCAATGGCACAAATTCTCACGAAGACAAACAAGCCCTCCCCCTCCCTTATAGCGTCCGTGGAGCGAAAAATCCAACTATCAGATATTTTCAGCGAACCACCCCCTCCCCCATCGACCAAATACGACCCCCTTCCGCTGGAGATTCTCCAACCAATGAAGGTGCGGGATGCGCATATATAGCAATGAGCATGCCCCACATTGATGGATATGTTACCAGACTGGGTGGCGCGATGAAGACGCACGTGAGGGTGCGGACAAGTAGCATGTCTGGCTTCAGATAGTGGATTGCTGATCGTGCAATGTGTTGCTTCCCTGTCGCATACTTTGCTTGTAGACGGAGTTATAAAGATACGGCCAGCTAACAAAGTCCTCCAGCTTCACTGCCGCTCGCTTCCAAGTAGCAAAAGTTATGCCCTCCCACAGCTGCCCGCCTCGCCCATGGAAAATATAACATTCATTGATTGTCTTACAGTGTGCTTCTACTGCTTACTTCATACACTACTACTCATATGCTCTCTTACGCAAACATAGCATACACTATTGTAGAAGAATACGTTGTTTTCCAACTATACTGTTCAGTAGAGCCCCTGAATCTATGATTCACACAGGGCCAAGGCGGCTTTGAACATAGACAGGGCTCTTCCCCTAATTTTTCAGTCCATCCATCCCTTCAGCTTTACCCGGCGATTACCGGAGGCTGGCTTCTCCACTAATCTTCGGAACCTGACCCTCGGTTCACTGCTTCTTGATAAGAACTGGACTTAAGAAGCGGTCTAAGGAGTGGCAATATAGTCACTTTGTCTACTTAACTGATGTAAGTTTTGAAGAAAAGAGTTATTTCGGTAAACCCACGTACACGATGTTGTCGTAGGTCTGTTCTCGTTTGCAGATAACAAGTTTGGTTCGTGGAGGTCGAAGCACGATTATTGGCACCATAAGATGCCAAGCGTATTGTAGATTCATCAAGCAGTTTTTGTCTCCAAGAGTGAACTCGTTGACGAAGAAAAGCATCGCTTCGGCATTTCTCAGTAGCGAACGCGTCGGTGCGTCCTCATCCCAGTTCTCGGCATTACATGCTACGTAGTATTCCGGAACTAGATCCTGGATGACGGCTTGCAGTGAGCTAAAATTGCCAGTTTTTGCAGTGAAGCTTAAAATAGGTCTTGGTGTTGATCAGTCTCCCCACGAGGTTGCGCCACTTATTCAGTCACTCCTGTTCAGAATCGTAGTGGCTTATTGAATGCTATGCTTATGAATTGAGGGTCTGCCCATGTACTAACCAGTGTCTTACCTTTCCTGGACGAATCAGGTACCAATTCACCAGATAAAAGGCTTAGTTAGCCCTATGGGAGCCGACATAGGACTTAA